CCTCTGGCCTGTACCCCAGTTCTGTATGCACAAATAAATAAATCTTTAAATATATATATAAATCTTAAAAAAAATTAAGGAAAGGCAAAAATTTTTAACAGAGCAAAAAGTTTTTTTTTAACAAAACAGACAACTCTGGTTTTAATAAAAGAGAGTTAAGTTACTAACAAGCTGACACATACCCTCTTAACCAATTACCCAATTATGATGAAAGATGTTTTTCAGACCCTATAATTTAAGAACTTCCCCAAAGATTTTAAAGCATAGATAGTACATATTTTTCTTATTAAAATCAAACACAAAACTTGTTTCTTACTATATAAAATTAATTTTGTTTCATAATAAGTGGTTATTATCGGACTTTTTGAAGCTACTCTACAACTGAAGAAAATTTTGAAAGGCAACCTGCATTAATATTGTTTACTGTTTTCAAGTCTTAAAATCTCTGTGGATTTTAGTACCAAGAATTGGACACCTCTACTTTTGTGCCTATTCTACAAGTGGCAATTTCTAGGTGGCTGGGAGCAATACACACGAGAGAGAAAAAATAGCAAAAAGCAACAGATTTAGAAAGCGAGGAGAGCATCAGTATTGATTAGGGTAGTGGTGGAGTAGAAGGAATCAGGGAAGGCAGACATTGCCTCAAATACAGGCTGAGCATTTTTAAAGAGTAAGAAGCTGGAAAGAGGAAGGTCACCCTCTGCCGAAGGTTACAGACCTACTCTGTAACCCCGGAGTAACCACGGGCAGTCCCTACATGTCCAGCTGATGACTGGAGGACCCGAGACCAGTTTCCCCTCCACGGCGCCCTGGTCACTCACTGGCTCAGCAGCTGTGGTCACCTGTACTCTCTGTCCCGCAGGTTCACATCATGTTTCTTGAAATGGAGGTAGTAGTTCACCTTCTCCAAATCCCCAACCGAGGCTGCTCTGTGAAGTTTCTTTAAATCTTTATCTCGAAGCTGGTAGCCCCATTGGGCCGTGGCACTAGCTGGTTCTAGGTCAGCTGAAGGACTTTGGGATTCACTCTTCCGACTCCAGAGTGTGAACCGCTTCTTCATGGCAGTGCAGGTGCCAGCCACTCAGATGAGCATGTCTCTCCCTACAGGTCCACCTGCCTCTGGGGTCTAGTCCCTTGATTTTCGGCCGGAGTAGGACAAACACTGGGAAAAGGAGGTGCGCCTAGGAGTGGGGCCTGCTCAGGTCCCCGGTTGCCTGGCAACACTCACGGAGTTGGAACCTAGTCTCAATGGCGCCCAGGGCTATTTTAATGCAGCTGTGGGCCCCAACATGCACACTTCCTTAGTCATTCTTCTTAGATCTAACAGCCTTTGGGTAGAAGACTACCCAGTTTGTTACAAAACAAACAAAAAGTCACTTGTCCTTCAAGGATAGACCAAACGGCCTGAACTCTTAACGAACAGAATTAACTTTCCTCATGGTGAGGACAAAGCTCCTCGTACCTTCCAGCCTACCTGCAGTACCTCTCTGTTTCACATAATATTGTACAGTATGTGTGACTACTCCATCACCCACGCCTAGTTTTCAGCTTTTTCGTTTAATAAAAAGGAACTTTTTAAAAAGATTTATTTATTTATGCATACGGAGCTGGGGTACAGGCCAGAGATGCAGGGGTGGTGAGAGGATTCACCAGAGTGGGGAGCAGAACAGGCAGACTGACGCAGTGCTGTGCTTTGGCCTGCTGCACCACCAAGGAGGGCCCAATAAAAAGGAAATTTAACTAGAGGATCCACAATTTTTTTAACTCGAAATTCTATGATGTACAGTTTACTCAGAATAACGAAGTTTATAAAACACTTTCTTCTGGTTTAATAAAAATGGTTATGCACAATTAGTGTATTTTGCATTCACTAAAGGTTTGTTATTAAAATTATTTTTAGCAAACATTTATTTAATTATGCATTCAAGAATTGGAGTATAGGCCAGAGGTGGGGGAGGAGGGTGTGAGAGAGTGGGGAGCAGAATTGGAGGGAGGACAGACTGAAATACACTGGAGGGAGCAGTAAGCAAGATAGTTCCGTCTTGCCATGTGTGTCAGCTCCCTGGCCAGGCTTGGTGCTGTACTGGCTGTGGAGAGCTTCAGTGTGGGGCTTAATCCCTTGTGCCAGCAGAGAGGGCCTATTTTATCATTAAACTCTTCATTTTTGCTTTTTTTTATATAAGCAAAGCCACAATACAGCCCATGTTCAAATATCACAAATTCCAAATTACTGAGACTTAAATGTAACTTATATTAATAGTATATACATAAAACATATTTCCAGAGTGTTACAGGGAGATTTTATCCATTGCCTATCAAAAGTTAATGCTAGGGAGCCTACTTAAGAAAAATACAGTTGTGCATTAGTGATTGCAGACCTCAGTTCATTCCCTTAAACTATTAGTTATCTTGGGGATTGATTCTGTTATGAGTGAAAAGTACATTGTGACCAATTACCAATTCTTAGGAATGACACATTAACACAACCTGGCTATTTACTTACAATTTCATAAATTATCTGATAATTGTACTGATATTGTTAGTTTTTCTCTTCGTTTAAATGTAAAAGTAAATTTTAAATATTCCAGGGCCCTCTCTGGTGGCACAATGGGTTAAAACACAGCACTAGGGGGTAACCCACAGCCACTGCAACAAGAATTCAATCCTGGCAGGGGAGTGACCCACATGGCTCAGACCTCTCCTGAGTCACCTGCTGCTCCCCTCAGCCATGGATTTGTCAATATACATGTTCTGCTCCCCTCTCTCTGGTGAATCCTCTCACCCCCCACCTCTAACCTGTACCCCAGTTTTTATATGCATAAATAAATCTTTTAAAAATGTTTGGTTTGATAAAGACCACTAATAAGTTTCCAATCTAATACTGTAGATGGTAGTCATTGTTGTTCTGGAAAACCAAATTAAAGTGTCTTCAAAGATACTAGATAGGGTTGAAAGGTTTTTCGTCTGAGGGATCAGTTAAGCTGCACTATTAGTCTTTGGGTTCCATTAACTCTGCCTGTGAGCATTTCCATGTAAGTCACTTATGACTTTCTTGTCTCTAGTGACAGTAGACTGTAAATGTAATATGCTCCTAATTCCCCAATGACACCATGATCCAACGTGATGTTTAAACTGTTAATTTTGGCAGACAGAAAGACATAATGCTTGATAAGCATTAAGATGATTATACTCGCTTTAATCTATTGATGGACTTTCATTACTTATCTTTTTGCACTAAGGGAAAGCATTTCCAGGAAATTGTTTTGTACGTGGTCTTAACTATTGATAGTTCTGTGCTGTCAAGGTAGAACGCCCAGTCTTTGTTAAGCTCTTATCTCCCACTTTGTACTGCAAGCCACGGGCAAAATTGCTAGACAGTACATTTATCATAAAAGTTACTGCATGATTCAATTAGCCCACCCTAGTACTGACCTTAGACTTCTTTAAGTCTCCTCTATGAGCTTTCATAGCATCCAGTTCTTGCCTTCACCATGTCTGTATACTTGGTAGGAAAATCATCTTTTACCCCATTATTTAAGCTCCTTAAAAGTAGACTTATTTTAAGTCCCTTTTGCAGTTAATTGCCCTTTATAAAAAACTTTGATAAAAACATTTCACCAAAAAAAACATTTGATTGAACTTCACTTAGATAATCCTTGAGTCACAAAGTACAGGCAGTTAAAAATCAAACTTGATTTTGAGGACCTTCCCTAGTGGCTCCACAGGTCCAAGCCAGCACTATGAAGAGATCCACAGCCACTGCAGCATGGTTCAGTCCCTGGCCAGAGGCTACCCTCATCAGGTGATAGCCCTCTCCTGACCCACCTGCTGCTCCCTATAGCATTGTATTTCTGTCAGCCCACATGTTCTGTTCCCCACTGTCGTTGGTGAATTCCCTGCATCTCTAGCCTGTACCTTAGTTCTTGTATGCATAATACATTTTTAAAAAATTGAGCCTCTTAAAAACACAAAATCCTTTACAGAATAAGTCAAAAGACATATAAACCTTAACACGTATGTATTAATCATGTTACCACTCAAAGTTATGATTGCCTTATAATACTCATGTGAAAAAAAAAACCCAATTTGAAATGGCTGAGTATAAAAAGCAAACCTGCACCTAGGAATGAAAATTGCACACCCATGTGGTCTATTTTCATTTATTGCACCCACTCATAACAGTATCTAATTTACATTTTGGTAACTATTTTTGTGCCATCAACTAGAAAAATATTTTACAAGGCATTTTAAAAGATTTTAGAAGACACATCTTATTAGAAAGTGATTACTGAAGGAATATGGCTTGTTTTGGTTTGTCACAAGCAACTGAATAATTTCTAAACCATGTTTGAATTTTGTAATTACCACTCCCCAATGCCATATTAAAATGTCTTATGTCAGCACCACCAGTGATAAAGAAACAGAAGGTGTAGCTATGCATTTTATAAATAACAAAAAACTACTTTAATTCTGGAAATTTCCCAGTTTTTAAAACTGAAAGTGATGGTTATTTTAACAGTATATATGCGGAATCATTTTTTTCCCATATGGTATATAACATCATTAGCACTTTTTTCTTTTATTAATCAAACATTTTATCCACACTTCAAATGTGCTACGGAACAACTACCAGAACAGTGTGATAAATATAGTGGTTCAAATAACTATAAAATGCAAGACTTACCATCTTATGATTTAGTAATAAGGAAAACTATGTGCCTTCTACCAACAACAGTTATTTGTATGCTTGATTTATGCCACATACAAATTATACTAGGCTTCATATTAAAATACTTTTTCTAAAAGTTCCCATTAGATGCTTACACCACTTAATAGAAAAATAAAACCAAACTACCAAGCCTATAATTTAATAAAAAAAAATTTTCAATAAAATGTAGAAATACTTTAATTTACATCATATTACAATGAATCAATACAGTCAAAATCCACAATTACACATTCATTAAAATTCTGGACATCATCCTCACAGTAAGCTTCTGTACAAAAATTTACAGCTGTCCATTGTGTGTAGTCTTTCCTCAATGTGCTACAGAGTTCAGAGGTTCTGCACGAATATTCCCCAAATCAAGTGCAGAATCTGTCTCTTCATCAATTTCTCCAATGACTGCACTGTAATTATTAAAGGGGAAAAAGTCAGTTAAAATAATCTCATTTCTGATTAAAGCTGAGAGAACATAATACAGTAAATTACATTATTATGAGGCAGTGAATTATATCAAATTTAAATAAAAAAATGATTTGAAGGCAACATTACTAGATGAACCGATAGTAAGGACTGATCACATACAGTAACTGTATTGTGAGTAATTAAAGAAATATAAGCATATATGGAGTAAATGAGTCAAAAACCCAAAATTTCCAATCTTAGGATTTCACCTAAATACAGGTACTAAATTGGGAGTAAATCAAAACGATTACTAGATAAGCAAAATTAAGTGTCTATTATTTGAATGACATCAATGAAGTAAGTGCCTAAATGATATATAATATCTATTAGTTTCATTTTATTATTTCTCAGTTTGCTCAATTTAAATTCAATATAAAAGCAGTTCTTTATATATAAAGATAGGAACAGCAATAACAGTAAGTATCTACCAAATATTTTTTTGATGACTGGCTAGGCCTAAAGAAGATAGCAATTTTTTCAATACCAAGGTTCATCTATAACATTAACTTCAGTAATACTATGTAGATAGCCAAGCCAAGGCTCTAGTCATACACAGTCATTGTTATATCCAGAGACCAGGCTACATATTAAACATTATTCCATTTTAAAAAAAAAAAAAATTGGTGGATTTTTTTTTTTTTTTTGGTTTGAACTTACTTGGTTTTAATGAGTAAATTCTATAGTCAAATGTTTGTAATACAAAATTTTCCCAATGGTGCTTTATTTACTTATTTATTTAGATGGTGTATGTAACCAAACTTATCCCTGAGGCCCAGGAGAGGGGAACAGGGCCCATGAGTTACAGCGTCACTGTGGCAGCCTTCTGGGCCGGTGCCTGCCATGTGTGAAGCAAGCACCGAATTTGACACAGCTGCACCAATTTTGATTAAAACTATACAAGCCTTGAGTTTTCTAAGAGATGGAAAGTACCAGACTTCAGAAGTCTTTCATTGTTCTTTCAACAACAACAAAAAAACAAGTCGAATATTATAGTTACACATTTAAAAGTTACTACCATTTATAATCCATGTTTACTTTATATAGTACAACAAAAACGATTCTTGCTGTCTAGTCTCTAACTGCATTAACACAGCAGTGTGCTTTAAATTTAAAATTCATTTCCTCAGTCATTTTTCAAGTATTCAACAGCCTGAGTAAGAGCTGCCATACTGGGCAGAAGGTTTGTTTCTATCACTGCAAAAAGCTCTTTGGACAGCCCTGTTCTCTCCTGAAGGCTTTCCTTAAGTGTTACCACTAAAACGAATTTTCTCAAACATATCAGTGTGTCACAAGTCAATAACTGAGGCCAAAGTGTAAATATGGGCCATCTTATATGTGTCAATCACACTAAAACATTAAAAGAAAAATAACAGAAAATTACTTGTTTATAAATGCAGTTATTCTACAGTTCATGAATTATATAAAATTTTTCCTATCAGCGATTTCAAATTTGAGACATTTTTCAAATTCTAGTCTTGGACGCCCTATTTTTATGTTCCTCTGAAATTAGGAAGTATATGGAAGACAGCTTTGTCTCTACAACAGAATATTCCGTATATGGTAGGGCACATAACTATTAGAATATGGACAAAGACAAAATGTAGAAAACCACATTTATGTTCTATTAACTACATAAGGATTACACAGTGCATTTTCAGAAGAAAACCTCCACTTATAATAAGACATCTCACATGCTGTATATTTAACCTGTATTAAAAAGGTGTATTACTTACACATTGTCACCTCTTACAATGTATAACCCTAGAACCACTTGTTCTACTCCCTGTGAAGAGCTGAATACTCGTTCATGGCTTTCATCCAAAATCAAATTAATGGTTTGGTCAAAACCTTTCAGTGTTCCCTGTAAATAAAATATTGAGAAAAAAAAACAAATATTCTGGTTTACATTAGTGTGTAAGTTTAGCAATATCACAATTTCAGTATCCAGGCACCCAACATAAGTACTTATCTTATTTTTTTAACTGAATCTTTTTTTTAAGGATTTATTTATGCATACAAGAACTAAGATACAGGCCAGAGTTGCAGGGGTGAGCAGCGGATTCACCGGAGACAGAGAGGGGAGCAGAATAGGTAGAGTGAAATATACTGCTGACCGGGGCAGCAGGTGAGATAGGAGAGGTCTGCTGTGCCAAGTGGGGTGCTCCTTGGCTACTGGGAGCAAACTGGTGCTTCAGTGGCTGACTGCTGTGCTTTAACCTGCTGAGCCAGCAGGGGGTGGCTAACTTATTTTAAGTTTCTAAGAAGTATTATATATGAGCACACACACACAAAATACAGTAAATGTCAGAGTATTGAGTGGGGAAGAATAATAAAATGGAAGAGAAAGAGAAGTACCTAAGACTTGGGCAGACTGACAGGCTCTGGGAAAAAAATCTATTATTTTTGCACAAAGACCACTTATACATAACATACACTCAACACGTATTAGTAACATACACTCCACATTTATAAACGAGAAATAAGAAGCCAGCAGCTATTTATCAAAGACAGAGATCAATCTACTGTAATGCAGGGACATTCTGGTGCCTAAGCATTAGTTTAAAGATTCTACATGGAAAGTTACAAACAGTAAGTCTACAAGTAAACAGAGAATAAAGAAGCTAAATACTTACCACAATCATTCTCCCATCAGAAGTAATAACAGCAACAGTTCCTGACAACTGAGTCAAGGAAATCATGTCTCTGGGAATGTCATAGAATTGAAATAGAACTTTGCAACACAGTCACTATATTCACAACACAACTTGGGTTCTAGCTTTTTAATTCTTTGTAATTACCCATTTAAAGGGAAAAAAAACACAAAACATTTTTGTACTGATCAATGTATGGGATGTCTGGCATTGAGTACTGCCAATATGACTAACCAAACATTTCCCTCCTTCTGTTGGCACGTTTCTACCTCTCCACAGTGCAAGGTTTAACGTCGAGAGATGCTGCTGCTACACGAGTCAACGGTCTTTCAGGACTTGGCTTCTCAAATTCAGAAAAGTCACTCATCAATCTCACAAGGTACCAACATGTTTACATATTACAAAGTCTTTCGCATTTCACTTTTGTTCTCCAACTCTGTCCACGAAAGCAAACGTCGTGTTTCTGTCCTGAAACTCGAACGCGACCAGCGGTCCTCGAAGGCACTTTTGAGCATGGGGGCTATGTACCCTTGAATGCCATTACAATGTTACAATGGCATTCTTTCCATTCTATCAATAAAAAAATTGAGATTTCAAATGGTGACGGGTCAGGAATTCAACTTGTGAACGATCTTTAACATGATTATGCTTCTCTTGAACATGTGCAAAGACTGTGATCAAACAAGCACATGGATTTACAAGGTCACAGTCGCCGCTAGGCCAACTGTCGATGTGATTCCCAAACAGAAATGTACAGGGCCTGGGGAAATAGTAATGACTAATCAACAGCTGATTTCTACGAAAAAGGAGAGAAGCTTCATAATCATATTTAACTATTAAGAATGAAACGCAAAGGCGCTTTGGACTCGCAAATTCGGCGGGCTCCAGCCCCGGCCCCCAAACACCCACCCCCGCGCCCCGTAGTGGCCAGGCGTCCGAACCGCCCGCCGATTCCGACCCCGACCCCGACCCTCCAGCATCGGCCTTCCGCTGTGCAAACGCGGGCCTCGTCTTGGTACCGGCTAACGCTCGCGGTCGTCTGCCCAAGGATACGGTTGATATAATTCTCCAGGGCAGAAGTCATGATAGCCGGCCCGGCAACTCCAGAGCACGCACCGAAACCGACAGCAAGTGAATCTAGAAAGACCCGCCAGGAACCGGCAGCGACTTCCGCCTACGGGAGGCAGCAAATATCGCGAGAGTTATCCCAGAGCAGCCTCCCGCGTCAGACTGAAAGACCCCGGCCAATCAGACTTGAGAGACAATGGGAGGGGGGGAGAAAACGCGTTGGTGCGCGTGCGCAGTACGCTTCTGCTGTTCTTCCGGTTGGTGATCTCGGCCGCCGCTCGAGACAAAAGCGAACGGAAGGCGGAAAAAAAAACAGGAGAGACTTCCTAAGGTGGGGTTAGAGGGTGAGCTTGGGAAAGCGAGTTTGTTAGCGGAGTGAACGGCTTGGTGGACGTTGAGAAAAGACAGGGAAGGCGGGAGAACACGGAATGAGGTGTTCATCACAGGGGAGGTAGAGGAGTACTGTTTTCTTCTGAAGTGTTGATGCGGAAGTGGAATCCTAGTATTCTGTTACATGGGCCAAAAATTAAATCCAGTAAACTGAATGGCACTAGACAGAGGTGCTTACGTAGTAACCTTCTCATACACGTATCCGGAGAACACGACAGTAGAAAAGTATGTTTGCATATTCTGCATCTGCCCCTAAACGTGGTCCAATTTGGAGACTTTGTTACTTCTTAAACAATCTAGACTGGGAAAGGTATGTGAGCCTCCTTTGGGAAAAAAACTTCCCTCTCAACACGACAGGAAAGTTTTTGTCCCTCCGGGTAAAGTAAATGAAAGGCCGGTCTGCTGGAAAAGATTGGTCCAGGGAGGCTTCAGTGAGCGCCTGAGAGTTCTAGTTCTGGCCCTGCTGAGGAGTTGGGTGGGTGCCCTTGTACAAAGTAACAACTCATCTGGACTTTCTTCCGAAATTTCCGCCACGGCTATCATTCTGGACATTTACAAATGTTACTGGGAAGCGCCACTTTTAGTTCACCAGCCTGTTCTAACTTCAAAGGAGTTGAAGTTAGAAAAGATCTATATACAAAACACCAGGACAAGCTAATTCCCTTCATATAATATCTCCATTTAGTTAGACTTGTGATTTTTTAACTGAAGAATTGTGGGTTTGAAATAACCTGAAATGTCAGCATTTTTCTTCAAATGAAGCATCTGTTTTACAGTGTATCCACAAAATTACCCAGATTATTCCCCAATGGTTAACATTTTGCATATTGCAACTTATTCTGACCTGTTTGAAACCACACGGAGTCAGAAATTAGGTGGTGACTGTCCAGTGATTTGGGGAAGGGGGTGGAAATAAATGTAAGTAAAAGCATGGAAGCTACTGTGTGATTTACGAATATAAGGCTTTGATGTAAAAGAAAGTGAAAGCACTAATTAGTGATAAGAGAACTATCATTAGTAAGGAGTTTTTTAAAGTAATAACGTGGGGGACTAAGTTCATCATAAGTGTGTTACATTCTAACTATGAGCTTGTGAAATTTCCATTAAATTAATAGGCCTGATAAATAGCAGATGTGTAGTGTTTATGGCATATCATGAAACTGATTTTTTTTTAACACATGTCTTAAAACAACTCTATTTTCTGTAGTCCTTAAAGAATACAGATGTGGACAGAAATGGTCTCTCTGGTATTTGGATGTCCTATTATGACCAAAGAGAAGTCCATTTAGAAAGATGCAAACATTCCACATGTGCTTTATGTAAGTTAAATTAACCTTGTAAATTTAGGAGTACATAGGTATAGAGTTTAGCATCTCATATGAGAAACTAAAATTCTAACAGAGAAAAATGATAACTATTTAAGTATCTGGCGCCAGAAGATTAAGAGGCTTACAAATCTCTACTTAAGTCATTTAAATAAATCTCCATTACTGTGAGACAAGGGAAGGATGCTTGGGGTTGACATTCATTTTGGGGTTGACATTCATTCCATTAGTTCTTATTCTAAACCTTGCACAGAAAACTATAGTTTTCTTTTATATTTAGTTAAGGCTAGCCTAATATTTTATGTATTTCCTAATACAGTCTTGAACTTACCCTTCATTAATCGCTCATTTCCAGGTAACTAGAGCAATAGTCAAGAGTTATCAGAAACTGGTCAGATGAGGTGGGAAAGGTTATAAAGGAGTTCTAAAGGCATCTGACATTCCTGGAGTTGACTTTCTGTAAGTTGAATATATATAAAATGATCTCTGGAAGAACAGCTGAAGAGGATCTTAACGAAGTTGAGAACCAGAGAATAACTCAGCCCCCTTTGTATCCTGTGCGCTTGCACTAACATGAAGAATCAGGTTCATACTAGATTCTGAGGGAACTGGATTTGACTTTTATGTGAATGGTTCATGGAAAATGATAATAGCAATTGTAAGATTAAAAGTTATTTTCAATATTACATGAACTTTTATATTTTCATTTATATTACTACAAGTTTCAGAAGTGTCAGTCTTTCAGCAGTATGTATTGAATAGATCTCGCTAGGGTTCTGTAAGGCATAAAGAGATATAAGTAAATCATGGCCTCTTTTTACAAGGCAATTTTCTGAAATGGACAGACCTTTAGTAATAAACATGAAATAATTAGTACACATAGAAGAAAGGTATTTGATAAGGAGAATTTAGTTCATTTAACATTATAAAAGGCTTTGTTATTGTTTGTTTGGGGTATTTTTGTGTGCCTGGTTTACTGTGATAGGCTATCACCCCCTGTTTGTGGCTCATGTGTTTCAGCCTAACTGGGTCCATAATGCTGTGCTTGCTTTCTTTCTTTTTTTTTTTTTCTTTTAATAAGTCTACCGAAGAAATTAAATTTAAAAATTGCAATTAATGTTATTCTGTAACTTGGCAAAAATCATGCAAGGAAGAAGTAATAAATTTAGGCAAGTAACTCTAGGTCTGTGAATTTCAATCTGCTACTGTGTCAGCTGCAAAAATAGGGTTCAGATAGAAAATAACTTGAACATGGTAAGCTCAATTTTTCTGTTTATTTTTGTAGTAACTTTTAAAAATTGTTTTGCGTTGTAATAACCTTGTTTTCTTTATAACAAGTAAAAAAGACATGACCATCTTTGGACATCTTCTACCTTTGACCCTACCCCTAAGAACTTCCCCTTTGGTAAACTCATTCAGAGCCACTGGATTATTTTTATTTTATTTTACCTGTTTATCTGCTTTGTTTCTTTACATTTTACATATATGTGAAATCATTTAATATTTGTATTTTTCTTTCTGATTTATTTCCTCTTTACATAATCCCCTGTAGTTCCTTCCATTTTGCTACAGAGCAAAATTTCATTTTTATTTTTTAAAAAGATTTATTTATTTATGCATTCAGAATTGGGGTACAGGCCAGAGATGCAGGGGTGGTGAGAGGATTCACCAGAGACAGAGTGGGGAGCCAAACAAGCAGACTGATGAAGGGGAGAAGCTGGCCAGACAGGAGAGGTCTGCCGTGCAGCATGGATCACCTCTCAGGCCAGGGATTGAACTGGCATGGAAGCAGCTGAAGCTAGCTTGCAGTGCTCCCTTTTAACCTGCTGTGCCACCAGGAAGGGCCTAAAATTTCATTTTTATAGGCAGATAGTGGTTCTTTGTGTATGAATACCACATCTTCATTATCCAGAAGGAACTTAAGTTGTTTCTATATTTTAGCTGTTGTGAATAGTGGTGCAGTAAATACTGGGACACATACAACTCTTCATGACTTCATGCTCTTTGGGTGGATACCCAGAAATGTAATAGTTGTATCATGTAGTAGTTCTATTTTTAAAAGTTTTGGGGGGAAGCTCCATATTATTTGTAATATGTTTGCACTATTTTATAGTCCCACCAAAAGTATACAAGGGTTCCTCTATTTCCATACCTTCACATACACTTGTTATCACTAATCTTTTTAAAGTCTTTCTCACAAGTATGAGATGTTCTCTAATTGTGGTTTTGATATGCAGTTCCCTATAAGTGATGAGTATTTATTTCATGTGCCTGTTGACTGTCGTTTTTGGATGAGTGTCTGTTAAGAGTATCTGCCCAGCTTTCCTTTTTTTGGTGGTGATTGTTCAGTTGATTTAGTTCTTTATATATCTTAGACATTATCCCTGCTGTGAATCTATAGATTTTATCTATATATATATAGATAGATATATAGATTTTATATATATATATATACACACACACATATATTTTTGTGTGTGCACGCGTGCACACAGACATATAAATTCATATAATTGTCTATACTGACTTCTGATTTTAGGCTTTTGCAAAATCTAGATTTATAAGCTCATGATATTATCAGAATACTGATACCATTTTAATTCTTACAGTCCTGCTCCAGGTGCTGGACTCCTTTTTATGCTAGAACCCCTTATGGTAGCATTAGTAGAGCTCACATTATTCTCCCATTGTCCAGAACAATCCCTTGAACCTTCCATAGAAGTGCAGACATTTTTCCATAGGTGCCCTTGGTAACTCATTCACATTTCACTGGTTAAAATGTGAAACATACCCATCTCTGAACCAGTCAGTGGGGTCAGGGGAGAGATGTTCTGCTGAGCTTAATTAGGGGTGGGATCTGTCCTCTCAAATCACATGGCAACTTTGTACTGGCAATGGATGTGTTCTATGGAAAATGAAGGGGAAATTGGATACTGAAGAAGTAGCAACAGATACCCTCTCTTCCCTAAAATGATTTTGAACTGAATTCCCTAATAACTCATAAATTTAACTGTATGTAATATTTATAGTATCTGAAATGTTATTTGCATGTCTACTTTTTTTTTTTTTTTAATGTGCTTAAGGTTTTTAAAGTAACCATGAACCTAACTCTCGGGAAAAAGATTTAAAGGTGTATGGCACTAACAACTGCTCTCTTCTTAGAAGACATCATCAAGATGGCAGCAGAGAACAAGTTAACAAGAAGGACACTATACTTGGAGACCTGTGGCGTGGGGGGAAACCAGTACAATTGCCGTCCTTTTTGTGAAAAGGCCTAAAAAGCTGTGGTTCAGAATGTAATATTTATTTTTTTAGGGATTCATGATCATAAACTTTCTCCATTAAAAAAAAATTGGCCACTGCTAATTCAGAAGACTGA